GCTGCAGCCCCCCGGAGGGGCCGTTCCTCACACTTCTCAACAAGGGGCTGAGGTGAATCAGTGCTCCCCTGCCTGGGGGAGAAGGAAAGGGATGGGCATCTTTTTTTTCTTGCCTTCTGTAACAAAAGCTATTGTAGCTTTCCCCTAGGACATGGTGGAAAGATACGGCAGAAAGCATTTTAAATAAGACACAAAATGTATATAATAATTTTTTTAGTGGTCATTTTCGCATGTTTTAAGACAGCTGGTGGCTTTAAGGGGACAATGTTAAGGGAAGAGAAACGAAGCAGTGTTTTCTATATTTGTGGACTAGGTTCAGTGTTAATTTGGATAATTCCATTGAATAATGGAATGCTAATATTATTTCAGTTATGTTTCACCATGCTTCACTGGCAGCTCTTTGACTTACGTAATGTTCAAAGGCAGAGTGATGACCCTGGTTTACTGCCTGTGATGTCAGCCAAAAAGCAGTTTTATTTTGGCAGCTGAAGGGCCACCCCACAAGAGACAGGTTTAGTTAATACTAATGTCTTTTACGATTTAGGCCATGGTCTCAGAGCTCTTGGATGGGTTTTCTTGTCTGACTAGTTACAGCCTAAACAGCGATCAACAGCACAGCTTGTGGAGCCCAGATTGAAACCACAGACCTGAGCATCTGAGGCTTCGCAGTTGTTCAGGTCTAAATCCAGATCATAAACCAGCAGCAGAGGTCTACCTCTAAGCCAGTCCTGTCCTTTATGGCACAACACACAAACCACAATGATACTTTTCAGGCATAATTTATTCTAGGGGCCTAGCTCACAACTATGTCAGTCCAGTTTTATAGCAGTGTAAAATGGGAGCAAACCAGTAATGAATCCGGTTGTCTATTACTCTGTTCTGTTTGAATCATGTTATTCCTAGTAATGTCATTGTTATTTAATTAGAGATGACTGAACAAGTTAGAGGCATTTCAATGAGTTAGCTCCATGGTCTCAGTCTCTCTCCTTTCGCTTGAAATTAGATGGCAAATGCTTCACACCAGAAGCTGTGCCTGCTAATTGTGAAGCATTTCCAGACACTGTAAAATAAGGCAGGCCAAACTTCACACTTGCGTCCTTCATGTTTGCCCTTAAATCAGAGCGTAAGATGTAAGGTAGATGCCATGAGATATACTTAGCTGCTGCTCCTTAGAAATTCACATAAAGAGGTCTGTTGTGCTTGGCACTGGAGCAACAGCAGCGTAGCTACAGTTTCATCTTATGTGAAGAGTACAGAGCTCTGCTGGAAATAAAGCAGAGCCTGGGGGCTGTGCTCTGCCCCGACAGCCCAGGATCCAGCTTCCTCACCTGGAAAGCGATACTTTAGACCTCTCTCACCTGACCCCAGCTTCTAACACAACCCACATCTCTTTGCCTTTCCGGGTGAATGTTTTAGGCTACTTTTCTGAAAGCAGATGCATAAAACAGTCTCTTCCAGCACTACTGCTGATCCCACAGTAAAACATACCCCAACAGATGAATCAGGTACCTTGGGTTTGCCCCATTTGCTTTGAGTACCGGTTTTGAAACAGCCAGGGTCTTGCGGTGAAAAGGCCTTATAACTTGTCCAGTTGTACTAGGACGTTGTGGCTTCGTCCCTCAGAGGGCTTTCTGCTGCTATCGGTTTGTCCAGCTGCCGTTGACACCCTCCTGGGACGGTGGACCCAGATCAAGCCTGCTGTTGTGACTTTTATGACGGGGGTTCTGCCTGAAAAAAGATCTGTTTTCCTCGCTTGGGCTTGGGTGTCAAACATATCCAGGCAAACAGAAACTCACAAGCTGTCTGAAAAGGTTTTAAGTTTCACTACAGAAGCATAGCTTCTACTGGAGTGCTGTTGGGAGCTGAATCTCAACGAGACATTTTCCTGAAGGTGGGTGGGAGTCCCCGTTGGCAGTGCCTTTGCCGTGGCAGCATCGCTCTCCCGTTCATTGCTACTTGTGACAATTCATTATTTTTCACAAATAGGATTAAATCACTATGTCTCATATCAGTCACAGCCCTGACTTTTTGAAATGCCAATTTATGATGGACAGTCTATGAAACTGCTCCAAATTACAGGGAAGGTATTTCTGCATACAAGTACCCTTTTGCATTTTTCTGAAGATTAGATATCTATATTGCAAGTCTCTGCCAGTCTCCATGGCAACTAAACACTCGCCACCTAGGTTATGTATTCAAGTACAGTTATTTTCAATTCTCTTCCAATTAAGATTCCACAACAGCCTTATTTTCTTGCTATAACCACAGTACTAGCAGCAAGGCATTGTAGTATTATGGTGCAAAATGTAGGTGCTTATAGCTGTACTGAATGTTCCTGGTTGGAAGCTGCCTGGTAGTAAAAGGACTGTGTCAGATCTTCACTTCTCTTAATTACCTCTAGATTCTTCTGCCTGAAAATACAAACACC